AATATTTCCACCTTTTCTAGTTTGGGGACTGGGTGAAGCAGTAGGATTATGAAAGGTGGGCTCTCTTGTTTTGCTTGAGGGACAGAGTGGAATGTTTGGTTGGTATTTTATTTAAGGCTCTTGTTTAGAGTCAACATCACCTCACAGAATAGTCTTTGTATTTAAAAGCTGGTTGGGCCTGAGGGGCATAGGCCTGAGAGCCTAATGTTGTTATATTTTGAAGGAACATGCTTCTAAGTGGTACAGCACTAGTCTATCAATTTGCTGTACTGAGGTAACCTGAGTTGCTATGATACTGAACCCTATGCCACTGGAATATCAAATGTCATAATGGTTACTCATGGTGGACAGTGTTTGGTGGAGTTCCTAGGTTTAGACAGGTTTGGAAACAGGAGTGGCATCCACCTCCTAAACAACATGCCTCTGGAAACTATGAATTTAGAGAAACGACGATATAGAAGGGGTTCAGGTCTTTTGTTCATAGGGTCACTAAGAGTCGTGCTCAACTTGACAGCAAACAACAACAAATGCACACTTAATAATAATGCTTACTTAACAATATTATTTCTACAACAGAAGAAGCTCTGCTAGCCCAATGATAAGGACCTATGATGCCAAGCTGAAGGCTTCAGGTTCAAAGCCAGCAGATACTCTGCAGAAGAAAGATTATTTCCTCCTGTGTGATTTATTGCCTCTGAAAACCTCCTGGAGGGTCAGCTATGAGTTGGTTCCAACTCACATAATAACACTGCACACATAATAAGACTCCCTGCTTTTTAAGGGGAAGTGACCCTCTGGTTAGTTTCTGAGGCTCTAAATTGAAGGAGACTGGCCATCTTTCTACCACAAAGCCACTGGTGGATTCGAACCACCAGAGCTCCCTCACTATAGTATAATGATCATAAACTTTTAGAGAGAGAGAGAGAGAGAGTGTGTGTGTGTGTGTGTGTGTGTGTGTATACTAACTTTTATATGCACATGGGGGGGAAAGTTCTATTATTGTAATATTGGCTTTACTGTGGTGCTCTAGAACTATATCTGCACTATCTCTTGAGATGTGCCTGTATAAAGGAATATAAGAAAGCCAGGCACAGGGAGAACAACTGAGTAAACAGTTGTTGTTGTTGTTGTTATGTGCCGTCAAGTCGCTTGCGACTCATAGCGACCCTATGTACAACGGCCCTAAGCTCTGCTCTGTCCTGTGCCAATTGCACTGTCTCTGACACTCCCATCCCGATTATCCCAGTCACTGAATCAATCCATCTCATAGAGGGCCTTCCCCTCCTGCGCTGTCCCTCCACCATCCCAAGCATGATGTCCTTCTCCAAGGACCGGTCTCTCCTTACAACATGTCCAAAGTATGTTAGATGGAGCCTCAGAATCCTTGCCTCCAAGAAGCCACCCGGTTTAACCCTTTCCAGGACATATCTGTTTGTTTTCCTAGCAGTCCATGGTATTCTCAATACTCTTCTCCAGCACCACAGCTCAAAGGCATCAATTCTTCAACTCTCTGATGCATAACAAGTGATTGCAAAGACCATGGCCTGTATCAGACGCACCTTAAGTCTCCAGAGAGACACCATTGCTCTTCAGTACTTTGGAGAGGTCCCTAGCAGCAGACTTTCCCATGGCAATGCGCCTTTTAGTTTCCTGGCTGCTGGTGCCAAGACTGTTGACTGTGGAGCCAAGCAAACTAAAGCTGTGTACAATCTCAATCTCTTCACCATCCATCCTGATGCTGCCGATTGGTCCAGTGGTGAGAATCTTTGTCTTCTTGACATTGAGCCTCAATCCATATTGTAGGCTGCAGTCCTTGACCCTCTGCAGCAGGTGCTTCAAGTCCTCTTCAGTTTCAGCAAGCAGGGTTGTGTCATCTGCATAACGCAGATTGTGGATAAATTGTCCACCAATCTTGACCCCACATTTCTCCTCATATAGAGCCCAGCCTCCCGGATAATCTGTTCTGCATATAGGTTGAAAAGGTATGGAGATAGGATGCATCCCTGGCGTACGCCCTTCCCAATTTTGAACCATGCAGTGTTCCCTTGCTCTGTTCTGACGACTGACTCCTGGTCCAAGTATAGGTTTCGCATTAGAACGATCAAGTGTTCTGGGATTCCCATTCTTCTCAGAGTCAGCCACAGTTTGTTATGATCCACACAGTCAAATGTCTTTGCATAGTCAATGAAACACAGCTCTGGTATTCCCTACTTTCAGCTAAGATCCATCTAACATCAGCTACAATATCCCTAGTACCACAGTAGCTATAATTATTTTTGTTACTATTTATATTACTATGACTGAACATGGAGTTATGGCCTCTTGCAGGCCTGTGAATTGTTCTCCTGTAACTCAAGACTCAACTATCACTCTATGTATGCCTGTGGTTCTCCAGGCCTGGCAGCCCTCCCACTCCTCTTCTGGTGATCTGCCCTGCTCAACTATTAGATGCATGCTAGGCCCAGGACCCAGGCCTGTTCACTTAAAATAACCTGACCATTCTCTTCATCAATAATGATTGAATCCACCAGAGTCCTTCCCTGGGATTGATATGATGCTGCAGGAAAAACAGCTCCCTCTTTCTGTATGGATTCCTAAATGGAGGAAGTGGTAAGTTCCTGCCAAGGACACAGGGGAGAGACAAGCAGTAATGGCTGTGAAGAGTACTGGTGGTACTGACCCCCATTTACAGCCTAAATGGAACTGATTCCTCACCATTCAAGCACAAGAACTTAAAGCATTAAATACTTTTTTGGCTTAAAAGTCACTTTGCTGAGTTTTTGCCATTTGTTTCTGAAAAAAATATACCAAATGTTTCAGGCTCTAGCCAGTGCTAGACATGGGCAGGGCTGAACTGAAGCCAGTTTTTCAACTGCTCCTATATACTTTGAGTGTATTTTCAGGGGAAACCAGTGCTTGGAGAGAGACATTACGCTGGGAAAGGTAGAGTGAAAGAGAGGAAGATCCCGAATGAGATGGGCTGATGACTACCCCAATGGGCTTGAGCATAACAGGGATCATGAGGATGGTACAGAACAGGCCAAAGTTCAGATCTGTTTTTTTATAAGGTCACAATGAGTCACAGTGAACTTGACAGCACCTAATAATAACAGCATACACTTGGGAACAGACCATTTCATTTGGGTGGAAACAAAGTTTGTAAAACATGTTCTAAAGACTCACCCTCCTTACCCAGGGGTTGCAAGACACTGCTCCAATAATCTTCAGCAGTACTTCCAAAGCCACCCCGGAATAAAGACAGTGAAGAGGACAGAATTCTGGGTAAAATTCCCATAATTCAACTAGAGAGGTTCTATCATAAATGTTATGTATTGGGAATCTGAAATCTAAAAATGTTTGAAAAGCTATATCCTGACACTTAGGCTGCTGAGTGCTCCCATTTTACAGAAGAAGAAATCAAAGTCCAGAAAGAGGGAGTGATTAGCTAAAACCAGAGTAAATAAGTGTCAGAGCAAAAGCTCAAATCCAAGGCTCTGAATTTGTAGGCCAGAGTGCCTCACGTTCCATGGCAGCACGCCACCTGGGCAACTCTATCATTACTCCCAGTTCCTGTATCCTCCAGTAAACTGATGGCAGCTAAAGCCTAGAATCTCATCTTCCTAGGCTCTGTTCCCTACAGTGTTGCCTGCCTCTGAGCTTGGAGAGCTTCAGGAAGCTTTGGGAACTTGTAGAATAAATGCAAAAACCCTTCTCTGCTTCCCCAAGCTATATACTAAGTTCTACCCCTTGTCCAAATGTCAGGGAAAGGCCAGGCAGGGCCCCTCCTGGGAACTCCTAATCCACCTCCTCTGTTCTGGCTGCGCTATGGCTTTGGACAGAGGATTCCTTGTTCCTGGCGCTTCCTGCCTAGATCTCCGTGGGGCCCATGCGCTGGCAGGAAGGAGCCAAATTCCTCCTTTTAACTAGAGCTAAAGTTACCCCTCCACCTGCACCACCCCAGGAGCAGCACGCTCCCAGCTCTGCTGTTCATTCAGTCTACTTGCCTGAACCTGGCTCAGCCCCAGTTCATTCTCATGCCTCTGCTGCCCTGCTCATGTACATACAACACACACGTGCACACATCACAAAACAGAACGGTCCACTAGAAAAACCTTTAGCGAAAAATAAAGCAGAAGGTTCAAGGATGACAACATCTCTCAGCTCTAACAATAAATAGTGCTTCACTAATAACACCAGTGACATTTGCATATTATTTTAAGATTTCCCAATACATCATAAAACAATATGCAAATGTTTTCGCTGGCTTAGTTCCCTTTCTACATCCTGGCCCTTCCAGAGTCACAGAACCTTAAAGCTGGAAAGAGGTTTTGAAATTCCCTGGGCCAGTGGTTTTCAAAGTATTTTACACAGAGTCTGTGGCATTGTCTAGAGACTGCTGGGAAGCTGTAGAATTGATCAACTAGAATTCCTCAATTTCAAACTCCTTTAGCTGTTTTGTACTTTGAGATTCCTTTGGATTATCTGACAAAGGGATTTCTCTGCTGGAAAGTTTGAAAACAGCTCATTTCATCTGATCCTACCTTTTCCCACCCCTTCGTCTGACAATGTATATTTAGGAAAACTAGAGCCAGCAGAAAAGAAGGCAGTTGCCCAAAATCACATAGTAGCAAGAGGCAGAGGCAGCAGAGAACACTCTCTCACAAGTCAAGTCTACCATCTGGGGACAAATGAGCAAAAGAAAGTGAGAGCTGCAGGATCAACTTCCAGGTCCAATCCCATTAATAGCCTGTCATGGTACAAGCAACACAAGCACATTACATAAGGGTACTTAATAACATGCATTAAAAAAAAATAATAACATGCATTTCAGCCCCTACCACAAATCAAACCAAACCAAACCTAGGGACCCCCCTCGGCGATAACCCCCTTCTTCAAATTCACCAGAAACTTACAACCTAGACAGAGGGAGACCAGGAGTATGCAAGATGACCTTGTCCAGCTTTAGCAGAAGAGTAAGACTGAGCCTTTGCATCACTTACCCCTCTTCTGTCCACAACCAGCTCTCTGTGAGTAAGTTCGTCAGTCAGGAACCTAGAAGGAGGAAATAGTGTTAGCTTCTCAAAACATGATTTCATGGACTCAGCATGGAGCTGGAAATTGAGAGGCTGGCATTTGACTTGGAGGAACCTTGAGGAAGTTGTTGAACCTGTTAAACAGAAAGGCCTATGTGACTGTACACAGAGAGCAAAGGGGAAAGTCACAAACATGCAGCTGAAGAGGTCAGCAGGGGTCGGGCCATCCAGAGCCTTGGTATTCAAGGTAGAGTCTATTCTAACAGCAACGAGAACCCATCTATCCATTTGCAGGGTGGAGAACAAAAGGGAAAAGGGCACATGGGCTTTAAGAATACCAATTAGTCAAAACAACTACGAGATATCATCTCACTCCAGTTACAAAAGCAAAATTCAACAGAGCAGCAAACAACAAATGCTGGCGAGACTGTGGAAAACCTGGGACCCTTATTCACTGCTGGTAGAAGTGTAAAATGGTGCAACCACTATGGAAGGCAGTATGGCCCTTTCTCAAAAACTTGCAAATAGAAATACCATTTGACCCAGCAATTCCACTACTGGGAATATACCCTAAAGAAACTGCCACCCAAGCAGATATATGGATACCCATGTTTATTGCAGCTTTGTTTATAATAGCAAAGAGTTGGAAACAACTCAAATGCCCATAAACAAATGGATAGAGAAGCTGTGGCATAGTCACACAATGGAATATTATGCAGCACTGAAAAACAAAGAGCTCATGAAATATTATACAGAATGGGTGACCCTGGAGGACATTATGCTGAGTGAAATAATCTCAGTCACAAAAGGACAAATATTTCATAATGCCACTATTATAAACAGGACTGACATTGGGGTTCGGAGAACTAAGAAAAGAGGGGATAAATAATGTACAGTGCATTGAAACAGATGAGGAAGAGAACTGTTTCAAAGGAATATATGATTAGGTATTATTTGCATGACAAGAGTCCAGAATAAGAGCTGCATAGTAAAGTGGACTGAAGGGGATTGTATAACAATGAAAGAATTTTTTTTTTTCAAAGAGAAAAGCGAACTGGAGGGAGGGATGGGCAGGGAGGAAAATCTGCAACAATGAAGAAATGGAAATCCAAGTTCTCTATAAACTTTCATTAAAATCTCAATCAAAAAAAGAATACCAATTAGGAGGTAAATGTGATTGTCTAGGCCAGATTATGGCAAGGGCCTCTGACTACAGAAAATATGAGCTATGCGAGAGGTGTTATCCATAAGAGTACATAGTGATCTGAATAGGGATCGACGTGAAGGAGAGCAGAGATCTGTCTATCATAGTCTTATGTCTTCTCAGGTCAGCACAGGGTCTACAGAACCCACCCAGGGGAAATATTTCTCCCAAGCCTTGCCTCAGTCTCCCCATCTGTGAAATAAATACAATTGTATTCTGTGATCCCAAAGAATTTTTTGTTGTTTTAGCATTAATTCTGTGCCGGTGTAACTGACTCAGGGTATTTTAAACTTCTTTTAAACATCTTTAGAGAACTCTGGTGGCCCAGTCGAGAGAATTGTGCTGCCAACCCAAAGGTGCCTGGTTTGAATTTACCAGGTGCTCTGAAGGAGAAAGATGGGCAATCTCCTCCCATACAACATACAGCCTCTGAAAACCCACTGGAGGGTAAGTTATGAGTCAGTTCCGACTCAAAAGCAATGAGTTTTATGAGTTCATCTTTATGCCTCAACTGCACACTGACCCACAATGATAGCTGGAGAGAGATGCCTCAGGATGTCTGGCTTTATTCTTTGAACAATAAGTCTCCATACAGGTAAAGTGTTATCACTTCACAGGGAACACAAGAATAAAGGAAAATGGAAGTCCACTGAGGAGCAGTGTTTACCAGTAGAAGCAATATAGTCTTTTTTTTTTATTTTAATGAAAGTTTACAGAAAAGTTGGATTTTCATTCATTCATTGTTGCACATTTTCCTCCCTTCCCCTCCCTTCTGCCACCCCCAGTTCACTTTTTTTAAATATTCATTTGTTGTTGCAAAATTCCCTCCCTCCCCTCCTCTCCCAGTTCTCTATGCAATACACCTCTTATTTTGTACTGTTGTCTTACATATAATGCCTACTCATACATTCCTTTTAAGTAGTTCTTTCTTCTCTCTCTCCCTGCTTTGAAAGCTGACATGGGCCTCAGGCCTACTCCAGATTTAACATCAGTCACCAGCAAGCTTACAGTCGGCCTCCCATCCACTATTTCCTTGTGCAGAGGAGGGTGGGATGTGAGCATACCTGGGAGGCAGGGTAGCCTAAAGGTTATGAACTTGGCCTCTGGAATCACATAGGTTTAATCTAGCTCCACCAATTTCTAGCTAGGTGGCCTGGGACAAGTAATTTTATTTCTTCACCTTTTCTTACTTAGAAAAAAGAGTAGCCTACAACCAGGAGAGGATAAAATAGATGAATGGGGACCTTCTAAGAATTAAATCCCTATGCACATTCAAAAACGTCTCCAACAGGGTAAAAAGGGAAATCACAGACTGGAAAAAATATTTGGTAATGACATTTCTGATAAGGGACAAGATAAAGTTAAACAACCCAATTGCCAAATGGGCACAGGATATGAACAGAAACTTCACCGAAAAAGACATTCAAATGGTGAACAAACACATGAAGAAATGATCAAAATCCCTAACTCTAAGAGAGATGCAAATCAAAACAACTATGAGATATCATCTCACCCTAATAAGAATAGCAAAATTTAACAGATGGAGCAAACATCAAATGCTGGCAAGGTTGTGGAGAAACTGGAACCCTTACTCACTGCTGGTGGGAGTATAAAATGATGCAACCACTAGGGAGGCAGTATAGCCCTTTCTCAAAAAGTTGCAAATAGAAATACCACTTGACCCAGAAATTCCACTACTGGGAATATACCCTAAGGAAACCTGAACTTCCACCCAAGCAGATATATGCACATCCATGTTTATTGTGGCTTTGTTCACAATAGCACAGAGTTGGAAACAGCCCAAATGCCCATCAACAAATGGATGGATAGAGAAGCTGTGGTGTATTCACACAATGGAATATTACACAGCACTGGAAAACAAAGAACTCATGAAATATACAAAATGGGTGACCATGGAAGACATTATGCTGAGTGAAATATCTCAGTCACAAAAAGACAAATACTGTATAATGCCACAGGACTGATATGGGGGTTGGGGAGAAACTAAGAAAAGAGGGGATAAATAATATACACAGCATTGAAACAGACAAGGGAAAGAACTGTATAAAAGGAACATATGATTAGGTATTATTGGCATGACAAGAGTCCAGAGTAAGAGTTGCACAGTAAAGTGGTCCGGAAGGGGGGTACTATATAACAATGAAAGAACTTTTTTCCCCAAAGAAAAAAGCAAACTAGGGTGAAGGAGAGGTAGGGAGGAAAATGTGTAACAATAAATGAATGGAAATTTTAAAAACAAAAGAGAATACGTTTAAACCTGTTAATACCAAATAAAGTATACATTTTCTCAAAAAATAAAAAAAAAGTAAAGAGCTTGCTTCTGGGGCTAAAGGATAAAATAAAAGGGAAGCAGCTTCTGTTTACAGATACAGAAACTGAGACTCAGAAGGGTGGTACAATTCACCAAAGACAATGACAATGAGTGGCAGAGTTAGACCCCTACACTGGCAATTGGATGCTATAACACAACTGGATGCACATCCTCTTAGTTCCTGATGAAATTAAGGCTTAGGGAAAAAAAAAGACAAATGGCTTGTTCAAAGCCACAGAGAGAATCAACAGTAGAATTTTAATTTAAGGGAGCTCTGGTGGCCTAGTGGAAAGAAGCTGCACTGCAATTCCAGAGGTACACAGTTCGAATCCACCAGATGCTCTGCTGGAGGAGAGGCAACCTCCTCTTGTACAAGTCAGATCCAATTTGATGGTATAAACACACACACACACACACACACACACACACACACACACACATTTTTTTTTATTAAATCCAGAACAAACATGTTCATCCTAGAGAGGGTGAAACCAGGCTACTTACTCCTTGGAGGCAAGGATACTTTTGGGCATGTTGCAAGGAGGGACCAGTCCTTGGAGAGAAACATCATGTTTGGGAGGGTGGAGGGACAAACAGCACAGGAGAGGAAGAGCCGCGATAAGATGGATTGATTCAGTGTCTGGGGTAATGGGGGTGGGTGTGTTGGAGATAGTGAGGTTGGTGCAGGATGGAACAGGGTTTAGGGCTCTTGTACATAGGGTTGCTATGAGTTCCAAGCAACTCAACAGCACATAAAAACAACAACTCTTTGATTATAAATTTTTTTAAGTCTATGGTGTTCCCAACTATATCTAAAAAGTACAAGCTTGTGGAAGAGCTTCAGATTCCCTGGCCCTTTAAACCTGGAACAGGGACAAGTACAGATCTGAGCTAATGGGGTGAGGGACACACTGGGTAGAACTACCCTAGGAGGAAGTCAGAAGAAGCTGGTGAAACAAAAGCCTCTTTCTCAGAGGCTCTCTCCTGGGACATGGCAAGAAAGGAGGGGGCTGACAAGCAGGGTCATCCAACTTGCCACGGCAGAGTTGAGGGCTATATCTAAACAAACAGAAACAGTTCCAGCTTGGCCATAAGCTTATCCCCCTCCCCTCACCCCACCTCATTCACACACACACACACACACACACACACACACACACACACTCTCTCTCTCTCTCTCTCTCTCTCTCTCTCTCTCTCTCTCTCTCTCAGGTTTGTTTCTTCAACTCAAGAATGAGATGCTTGTATTGGTGTCTAGGTTCCTTCCAGTTATATGAGACTAATAATACCATTTCCTCATAAACACCAGACTCCTGGTCAAGCCCTGGTCACTCCAAAATGTGGCCTCATAATGCTAGCTCCCATATTAAGGCTATAGTGTTGGGACCCCTGAGTTCAGGTGCTGTGTGGCCAAGTTACTTTTCTTCAATAGACCTCAGCTTCCTTATTTGTAAAACGGGAACTTATTGTTGCCTGGTCATCT